GAAAATTGCTACAGTATACTGAAAAAAAAAGACTTAAGATTACGGTAGTTTTCCGAAGTTAACACGTTTTAGAAAACGATTTTAGAAAACGAGTTATGAGAAGGAAAATCTAGTCAAAAAAAGGGGGTATCATCGAAGTTCAAAGTAGAGTTCGGCAAACAAAACCAAAGCCAAAACAAACCAAAACTCAATTTGCATATAGATTAACATGTAAATTTAAAATTGTAAAATAAAAAAATTTGCCTTTCACTTTTTCTCACTCTACAAATCCTTGTGGCCGAAAAAAGGACCAAAACACGACCCCGAGATTTCGAAACAAAAAATAGCCTCTGGGATAGATTTTTGGACGCTGATTTCAAATCTGCAAACAGATTTTCGCTAGCTCCTCCCAATCGCGAGATATTGGCGAGTTTTGGTTCGTTTTGGTTTTGGTTTTGGTCTGTTTTGGTTTTGGCGGTTTTGCTTTTGGTTAAGTTTTGTTTTTCGAGAAGTCTAGTTCAAAGCACATTTCGTAAACCAAGCGCTTTATAATCGGTTAAATGAATCGAAAATAAGATTTAGAAATGGGTATTCTTTGAAATTTTAGTTTGAAAAGGATTTAAAGAAAAAAAATGATCTATAGAGATAACCAAGAACGTCATAAGATCAAAATCATCAAATTAGAAGAGCCGTTTTCCCCTAATTTTGTTCAAACAATGCAAACATACTCTTCCTGGTGCACTGAAATTATGATTTCAAGAGATTACATTAGTTAATATACTTAGACAAGTATGAAATTATGATTTCGGTGCACGAGAAAGCGTGTGTTACTGGCTTTGGGCTGAGAGTAAAGCTTCGAGGAAACAAGCTCCTAACATTTCCAAAGTTACAATGAGTCTACAATGAGTCAATCTTTAAAATCTACAGAAAAAAGATAAAAAGTAAAGATTAGAATAAAATTTAATTTTAAATTTAAAATATCATCTGTCCTCTTTAAAAATAATTATAGTAGAAAACGAAAAGAAGAAAAAAGAGAAAATATCATATAGATAATCAATTGAAGAACGTCATAAGACTAAAAATTTTTGTGAATCCACGGATTTCTATTATTCGATTTCGCTTGGTGATGGGGCGGATTAAGAATTCGCGGATTGGCTCCTTCTTTTGGCGAGATTTCCCTCTCGTTCCACTTCATGTGTTTCCCTTGGATTTCCCCCGCCTTCCTCTCATTTTCCTTTTTCTATCTTTTCTCCATTTTGTGTAGATTGACGAAATCATTGGCTCCTCTGACGACTTCTCAACACAACTCACTTTGTTGATTAACTGAAAAAGAAATAGAAAAAGAAAAGAGGGAAAACCCTCACGTTTTCCACGAATTTTTGTCTTTTCTTGGTTGGTTCCAATCAACATTTCAAATTTCAAGAGTTTTTGGGACGCTTTTCTATGGCTTTAGATATAGGAAGCTTTAGGGAATCAGTGACAAACTATTTACAAGTCTGCTTGACAGAGCTACTTACAAGCAAGTCTCTCTTTACATCCACGTTTGCAAAGGCTAATGAGAGTTTTCGATGGGTGTTATCTTCCAGAGTCATTCTTTCAGACTCAAACATCTAAGAGTCATATCCTCCAGGTCAAATTTTCCTTTCCAGAATTTCCTTGACTTAAAGTTGATGTGAGGTTATGTCACTACAGTTTATCAAAGACTCTTTTTTTGCTCGCTAAACTTTGGCACCAGATTTTTAAGCTCAAAGTCACCAACCGGCTCGGGTCCCAAGTCGCATTGAGTCTCACGAGTCTAAATAAGAAAATAGAGACTAAAAAAGCACACTTAAAGTTTCTTTCTTGTTTGCTGGACAAGACTCTCGGGGCAGATAGAATTCTTCTCTCAATTTAGCTACTGTTTAAGCGAATTGGTCCCAGGAATTGGTCCAGGGATTGGCCCAGGAATTGGTCTAAGGAATTGGTCCCAGGAATTGGTCCCAGGAGTTGGTCCCTGGAGTTGGTCCCAGGAGTTGGTCCAGGGAATTGGTTCAAGGAATTGGTCCCAGGAATTGGTCCCAGAAATTGGTCCGGGGAATTGGTCCCAGGAATTGGTCCAGGGAATTGGTCCCAGGAGTTGGTCCCAGGAATTGGTTCAGGGAATTGGTTCCAAGAATTGATCCAGGCAATTGATCCAGGCAATTGGTCCAGGCAATTGGTCCCAGGAATTGGTCCAGGGAATTGGTCCAGGGAATTGGTCCCCGGAGTTGGTCCCAGGAATTAGTCCAGGAATTAGTCCAAGGAATTAGTCCAGGAGATTGGTCCCAGAAATTGGTCCCAAGAACTTGGGAGGCATAGTGTCGCCCAAACCCATGAAACCGGCTCATTCTCTTACCACTTCACGGATTCCATAAGGGAAGCATTTTATACTCGAGTGGTATGCCGGAGGATAGCGATTACATACGGGCACAAAGAGCACTTTGTCAGTCAGCGATATATGGACTTCTCTTTTGCTTTGTAGATGGCCCAAAAGAAGATATAGAGCTATAAATTTGTACCCAGGGGTTTTCGGATTCGGGGAATCGATTGGGTGTATTCATTTTATTGAGGCTAGCAATTGGAACTAATTGCAAGTCTACCAATTGGTTTAATTGATCCAAACTTTAGATAAATTCGGAAACGTATCAGACAAATGAAATTGACGTACCAATAAAGCTTTGTTGATGCAATTTTGAAATTCGTCGCTACGGGATCCTAAATTTCCAATTTTCCCTGAAGAAGTCATTCATCAAACCAAAAACATCCGAACTTGATAATCGACAACTTGTTCCTAAAGGTTGTAATAGAGTATTCAGTAATAGAGTATTCAGTCCAGACTCTCTGGATTCCGGTATTCAATCTAGAATAGGATATTCAGTCTAGAATAGCTAGATTACGGTTTATTAGTCCAGATTAGGGTATTTAGTCTAGATCATAGTATTCAGTCTAGCTCAGAGTATTCAGTCCAGACTGTCTGGATTACGGTATACAGTCTAGAACAGGATATTCAGCCTAGAAAAGCTAGATCACGGCATTCGGTCAATATAGAGTATTCAGTCTAGAATAGAGCATTAAGTTGCAATGATTTTTAAAAGAATTCTTTCAAACCAATTTCCCTTTTGAAGCATCAAGTGAGATGAGACCTCGAAAAATCGGCTAAACAAATTTTTGACTTTTAAATTTAGTTTTTTTTACAGTAGGCGGAGTTCCGGCGAAGAGGGTTAAGTTCAGATCCTCAAGCTCTTGAATTGGCGGTTTGTAATCCTAAGAAAAAGTTTCTAAAAGAAGAATTTTTTGAAAACTTACAGGAAACGGAAAGTAGATTCTTTGTGGAGATCTCAGAAATCTTCGTAAAGTTGGATCTTTGGATTGTTCAGATGGCATTGTAGATGCTCGAAAAGTTTAAGGATCAATAGCTTTTCAAAGTGGAATGGAATCAAATGGAATGAAATGGAATCAACTGGAATCAACTGGAATCAACTGGAATCAAATGGAATCAATTGGAATCAACTGGAATCAAATGGAATCAACTGGAATCAAATGGAATCAACTGGAATCAAATGGAATCAACTGGAATCAAATGGAATCAACTGGAATCAACTGGAATTAACTGGAATCAACTGGAATCAAATGGAATCAACTGGAATCAACTGGAATTAACTGGAATCAACTGGAATCAACTGGAATCAAATGGAATCAACTGGAATCAAATGGAATCAATTGGAATCAACTGGAATCAACTGGAATCAAACTAGAGTCTACTGGAACAATAGAGAATTTGACAAAATAAGTGTTTTTAAGGCACAAATTTCCCGCCAAAAGCAACTCTATGAGTTGATTATTTGAAGGAAAGAGTCAAACGCTGATCGAAGCAGAGTTATTTCATCAGTTTTGGGCTTTAGACTTGGCTTGGCTCACTGGTTAGTGAGCCAAGTCATGCCAGGCCAAAGTCCGGTCAGATGTACGGGATCCATAATATCACAACTTAACACACAACCCCTACGGTCATAAGACTCTAATACCTAGTACCCTACTGCCCTCATATTCCTAAAGATCTTGCAGAGAAAAAAAATCCATGTATATGAAAAGAGGGAAATTTTCTAGCTGCTGGAATCGAAGCCGTGGCCTCCCGATTAGAATACAAGACTCTTAACCACTCGGCTTTAGAGGCTGGAGGCTTTACAACATATTGCAGAGGAAAATCCATTTATATGAAAAGAGGGAAATTTTCTAGCTGCTGGAATCGAACCCGTGACCTCCGACTTCGACCTCCGATACAAGACTCCGACCTAGGATACAAGACTCCTAACCACTCGGCCATGGAGCAAACAACCTTGAATCGAGCCATACTCCTTCCACTTAATTCTTTAAACTTAATTCTTGTAATTAATTCTTTAAACTTCACAATTCAATCCAAAATTCTAAATCAAATGTGCCAGAAAGGGACGGTTTTTATTTCTACAAAGGGGATGCCCACTGCTCACCACGCGGAGGTGACTGGACGTCGAGCAGTGCCCTCCCACTGGGCCTAATGGTCGCACAGCAGGAGTACGGACTGTGGGGGGCCTAGCCTGGTGGGGGAATCCATCCCCTGGGGCCTAATGGCTGGCTTAAGGGGGGGTGGAGTGCGGGAATGTGGAGTGGAGTGGAGTACAACGAAAACCAACGATTCGATGCCCACAAAGAAGCTCATTCACTAAAAATAATAACGCCAAAGTCCACCTTGAATGTCCCATTTCTCATTTCCTTTCCATATTCTCGCATTTATTATAAATTCGGCGAAACTTGAGCCGAAACTGAGGCGAAACTCGGCCCTTTCTCTTCAAACGATCGCCTATTCGTTGCTCTTTCTACCGTACTTCAAATCCTATCTGCTCTTCCGGATCCTTTTCACCCCTAAACTCTATTTTCTTCTTCAATATTTATAGCTTGTAACTGGTGAAAGAATCTCTGAAATTTTATTTCAATGTTCTAAATAAAATTCTCATTATATTTTCTCAATTATGGCCTCGGCTAAAGTGGATAAACTCATCAAATCGATCAATGGCTTGGAGACGACGCTGAAGCAGAAAGAACAGCACACACCACCGTGAGTTATACTTTTAATTTAACATTTATAAACTTAGTATTGTAAATTATTGTTAACCAGCAAAAAAAGGAGAAATTAGCAGCACGGGGAGTCGAACCCGCGACCTCTCTTCCGTTCGTTTGAGAAATGGTTTGAAAGTTCGTTCGTTTAACCACTCGGCCAGTACACAGTACACAGGACAGTACACAGTGCGAGCACACTTGTCTCTAACCCACACGACCCGGGTTCGACTCCCCACCCACGTCAGCACTTTTGATTTTTTGAAAATTTGAAAACCTGTTGCATAACTATATGGAATTCTATAACGACACAACTACAGGGTGACCAAGAATGACCACAACACAAGCTGGGCTGGCTTTTAACCAAATAAAGCCTGGCTTTTAACCAAATAAAGCCCGGCTTTAACCAAATAAGGCCTGGCTTTTAACCAAATATGCAACCCATCTCGAAAAGTTAACTTAAATATCTTTATTCAACATATAACAGTAACAAATTAACAATTAAATTCAAATTTGCCTCCATCGGCATTCAGACAAGCCTGCAAACGTTTGGGAAACGCGTTGACCAACATATAACAGTTGACCAACATATAACAGTAACAGTAACAGTAAGCGCGTTGACAGTGGCGAGCAAATGGGCATCATCGAGGGTATTCCATGCTTTGATGAGCGCCTTCTTCAAACTTTCGATATTCTTATGTGGTTTTGCACATGCCCTGGCTTCAAGAACACTCCAGACTGAGTAATCCAATGGGTTAAGGTCGGGTGAGCTGGGTGGCCACTCAGAAAACGAGATGAAGTCCGGGAAGGTCTTTGAACAAAACTCTTGCACTTTCTTTTGCCTTGTGAGCCGGCGCACCATCTTGTTGATAAGTCCAAATTCGATTTTTGAAGTGGCGTTGAGCCAAAGGAACAACCTCCTTATTTAGCAAGTGCCAATAATTCATCGCATTTACTTTCACACTGAAGCCGATTGGTTGGGGTTTAAACTTAGACGATCACGCACTTTCTTGGCATTAGCCGGAGTAACCGCTGTTCCGTTTTGCACCTCTTCCACGGCGATCAGATCCCGACCGAGAAAATGCTCTAGATCGATCAGAAACCGGCCCAAGCTGATTGAACGTTGAATGGTTCAAGAAACGAGGCTTCTGAGGACATTCAGGACTTCTGAGGACTTTGAGATCTCGCTCGCCTGAACACGCTGCCGCTTGAGCTCAAGGATCGATTGTCGACGTGGAGACGCTGTCACCATTCCTGAAAACAATCATACTTGAATTATTGAAGTATTGAAAGTTAGTAATCATACCATAAAATAAGAAAAATACACCAAAAACCATAAAAACGGGTAATCAAAAACTGAAATGGGGCTCATAACATAATACGACGTTGTTGCGGTAATTCTTGATCACCCTGTACTGTACAGCCCCAGGTCTTCCACCTGGGCTCAAGGATCGATTGTCGATGTGGAGCTCAAGGATCGATCGTCGATGTGGAGCTCAAGGATCGATCGTCGATGTGGAGCTCAAGGATCGATTGTCGCTTTCGCCATTCCTGAAAACAATCATATTAATGTATTGAAAGTTAGTAATCATACCATAAAATAAGAAAAATACACCAAAAACCATAAAAACGGGTAATCAAAAACTGAAATGGGGCTCATAACATAATACGACGTTGTTGCGGTAATTCTTGGTCACCCTGTAGATAGAATTCTATAAAATTCTATCAATTATCCGGAAAACGTTCAGGAAAAAAGCGGCCACAAACGACAAAGAGCGGCAATTTTGTGCGGAAATTCGCGAGATTTTGGCGTCATCCGATGTGAGCAATATAATAAAAGTAAGTAATAGATTAGATTTAATAGATAAAATTAGAGTAAACGTATTTTAGAATGATAAAAGATGTGAAAATGAATTCACCCGAGCCGTTGAACTCTTTTTCAACCTCGTCAATCACACCGATCAATCGCTTCGGACACTGGCCGAGGAAACGCTTGATGCGATTTTTCGGGTAAACATTGAGTAAATGATTGAGTAAATGATAGAAAAGCATCTTGGAAGAAGGCATTTTATAAGAATTTGATTCAAATTTGATTCAAATTTGAATCAAATTTGAATCAAATTAAGTTGTCGCAAAGAATGGCCCATCAAGATCTCTTGTAGCAGCTTTAAATCGACTCTGCTCATTAATCTTATAAGATCTTATAAGAATTTGTTTCAAATCTAAGAGCTAAAGAAGGAAAAAGTTCCAGGAAAAAGTTCAATTCCAGGAGCAACTCCTCGCTTTTCAACACGCACGAGTGATTGTCCGTTTGATCACCGTTGTTGCAAAGAATGGCCCATCAAGATCTCTTGTAGCAGCTTTAAATCGACTCTGTTCATTAATCCAATACAGTAAAGCAAATCGATTAACGTGAGTAAAACGGAGATGTTTTTAAAACAGCGCTCAATAGAAAATGTTCAAAACATTGGCGTCAAATTTCTTACAATCCATATAAACCAAGTCAGTTCAAGTTTTATATCAAAAACTCCACTTTCTTGGCTACACAATGAATAAAACAGTTTTTAAAAGTAAATATATAATAGATAAAAAGAGGGGTCAAAAATGAGCCTCTAAAGATATTCAGCTAACCAACGCAGACACACATTTTGAATGCTCTTTTTATCTATTATTTTATTTTTTTGAAAATTAACTTTCCCCCCCCCAAAAAGCCTGTTCCCCCTTATAAAACCAACTGCCCTTTTTGGGTTTTTTGAACTCCGAAATTTTTCCGCTTTTCCCTAAACCCCCCCCCCCCTTTTTCCCTTATCCTTTTGGGCCCTTTTTTTAATAAAAAAAAAAAACTCTCTTTCTTTAAAAACTGTTTTACTCATCATGTAGCAAAGAAAGCAAGGAGTTTTTTGATATAAAAATTGAACTGTTTTGGTTTATTGGATTGTGAGAAATTGTGCGAAATTTGACGGCACTGTTTTGAACGTTTTCTATTATGACGGCACCGTTTTGAACGTTTTAACGGAGCTTAAAACAGCATTTTTTGATAATAATAATATAATAATATAATAATATAATAATATAATAATATAATAGCATAATAGCATAATAATATAATAGCATAATAATATAATAACATAATAATATAATAACATAATAGCATAATAATATAATAACATAATAATATAATAACATAATATAATATAATAATATAACAGTAACAAATTAACAATCAACTTCAAATTTGCCTCCATCGGCATTCAGACAGGCCTGCAAACGTTTGGGAAACGCGTTGACCAACATATAACAGTAACAGTAACAGTAAGCGCGTTGACCGTGGCGAGCAAATGGGCATCATTGAGGGTATCCCATGCTTTGATGAGCGCCTTCTTCAAGCTTTCGATATTTTTATGTGCTTTTGTACATGCCCTGGCTTCAAGAACACTCCAGAGAGTAAAAAAAAAAAAAAAAAAAAAAAAAAAAAAAAAAAAAAAAAAAAAAAAAAAAAAAAAAAAAAAAAAAAAAAAAAAAAAAAAAAAAAAAAAAAAAAAAAAAAAAAAAAAAAAAAAAAAAAAAAAAAAAAAAAAAAAAAAAAAAAAAAAAAAAAAAAAAAAAAAAAAAAAAAAAAAAAAAAAAAAATATAATAATATAATAATATAATAATATAATAATATAATAATACAATAATATACCGTATTTCTTCGAATAGAAGACCGGGTAAAGAGCATGATCGCGTCCTCCTGCGTAGCAGCCCTTTTTAAAATTTCTTTTCTGCATAAAAGCCTTCAATGAAGTGCTATAGGGCTGGAAAATGACTCAAAAATACCACATGAGCTAACAGATTTTTGAGTCATTTTCCAGCCCTATAGCACTTCATTGAAGGCTTTTATGCAGAAAAGAAATTTTAAAAAGGGCTGCTACGCAGGAGTACGCGATGATACTCTTTACCCGATCTTCTGTTCGAAGAAATACGGTAATAACATAAAAACATAATAATATAATAACATAATAGCATAATAATATAATAATATAATAGCATAATAATACAATAATATATACTTTATTCTTGAAATAAAGTGGTGATAATGAGAAAAAAAGGGACATAATTCATTAGTTCATCGTTTGATTTGGTTATCAAATGATTAACCTTAACATAAAGCACAAGCTGATCTGAAAATCTGAAAAGCTGAAGATCTGAAGTTACTTTTTTAATTTTCAGCTCTTACGGTGTTCATATTGTGAACGCATTGACGATGATCTTGAAGAGGCCAGAAGAAACGGTACAAACCGCGTTGGAGAAGGGAATACCAAAGATTTTCGACGTTCTTGGACCAAGAATCAGGGAACAACATGTGGATAAAGCATATGTAAATCTCCGATTTCCAAACTTCTAAACTTTTTTTGATAAAATCTAGGATCTATATCGAGCAGCCGTCGAGAATCTGGACCTCTCTGGATCAGCAGGAAGATCAGCCGTCACAATAATCACACAGATTTGCCAATATTACACAGTTATCCTAAGAAAGGTATGGTCAAATGATTGTTTCAAATCTAGTAAACGTAGTAACTTTATCTAGTAATCTCGTATCTCGTAGTAATCTAGTAAACGTAGTAACTGTAGGTTTTGTGGCAATGTTGAGATGTCTTGATTTGTTTTTTTATTGAGATTGGAAAACGGAAATCTTTTACAGATTTTCTTTTAGGTAATGCTGCGTTGCCTTGCCACAATTCGAAATCCTGATGAGAATGAAGCTCGACAAAGATTAGTTGGATCGTTGAATGTGGTGAAGAGTGTTTGGAAGTTGGCTGTCGGTGTCGAAACGGCTGACACTTTGAAAGGGGTGAGTTTGAATCGAGTTTGGAATGGTAAATGGAAACTAGGGGAAAATTATGGGAAAACTATGGGAAAACTATGAGAAAATTATGGAAAACTATGAAACAACAATTAATAGAAACTTCTGAGTCGTAAATTTTCACAACGGGCAACGATTTACAGGATTTACAGGATGCTGGAGAATTACATAGGCACCTGAATGCATCTCAAGCAAATCCTATACAAATTTCATCTAAAAGGACTAAGTATTATAGATCATTTAAAAGCTTGAAGTCTCCCCTAAAATAATGTACATTTGAGATTTTGATGAGAGCGTTTCGTCACCAACCAGAGTTGGATTCTTGCTAACTAATTTCGGCACCGGCACGTTAAATTCCCACATAGCAATCGACTCTTTGAAGCACGATTTGGTTAATAATGGAAAGGAAAGAATCTAGGCTCAAGAGTGGATCGCTAAGAACTTTCGAGATTGGATCCCCATTGATGTCAGCTCTGGTGGATGGCCATCGAAATCGCCTGATTTCGATCCTCTCAATTATTAAGAATGGTTCAAACAGAAGATCAAACAGAAGATCAAATAGAAGATCAAACAGAAGATCAAAATAGAAGATCAAACAGAAGATCAAACAGAAGATCAAACAGAAGATCAAAACTTGATCTAGAATGAATCAAATAGAATAATCAAATAAAATAATCAAATAAAATAATCAAATAGAATAATTGAGAGGATCGAAGTCAGGCAATTTCGATAGCCATTCACCAGGAGTCTGTGAGCTGACTCCTGTGAGCACATCAATGGGGATCCAATCTCGAAAGTTCTTAGCGATCCACTCTTGAGCCTAGATCCTTTCCTTTTCTAGATTTGCAAGTCCTTTTTGCTTTTTATATTTAGCAACATCTAATAATAGTTATTAATAATAGCTTCAAAGAGTTGATTGATGTGTGGGATTTAGTGCAAGTCTTTGTCCAGAACGGTTCAAATAGAAGATGAAATAGAAGATCCAATAGAAGATCAAATAGAAGATCCAATAGAAGATGAAATAGAAGATCCAATAGAAGATCAAATAGAAGATCCAATAGAAGATGAAATAGAAGATCCAATAGAAGATCAAATAGAAGATCCAATAGAAGATCAAATAGAAGATCCAATAGAAGATGAAATAGAAGATCCAATAGAAGATCAAATAGAAGATCCAATAGAAGATCAAATAGAAGATCCAATAGAATAATTAAAAGCAAATGAATAGTTTATCCTAATAATAGTTAAAAGCAAATCAAAAAAAAAGAGAAAACAATTCAAAGCAGCTGATTACAAAGTCCTTTTCATAATTCGATTGATATGTGTACAAGTCTAGTAGTACAAGTCTAGTAGTACAAGTCTTTGTCCAGAACGGTTCAAACGGAAGATCAAATAGAACCCCCAGAACGTAGATTTTTCAATTTTTTTATTACAAAATGCATCTTATCTTAAAGAATCAAGATATCAAATCGATTCAACTTGATAATCTGATAGTTAGCAAACAAATACAAACAAACGAACAAACACATCATTACCAATCATTTTTTCAGATCATTACCGGCATTCTTCTTTGTCTTTGCTCTGGCCACAACGATGTGATTGAAGCATCTTTGAAGGTATAGATTTTCTACTTTCTAATTGGCCCAAAGAAAGCTGAGAAGACAGACGGACAGACAGAGAGACGGACAAACACTTCCGTTTTATATAGCAGATTTCTATATAGCAGTTTTTCGCAATTTGATACTTATCAAGAGAAAGAATAGCAATTATTAACTGCAATTTTGTTTTCAGGCTCTCTGTGAAATCATGTCTTCTCCTTTATCCGATATGCAATTTTACCCACCGACTTTTACCAATAATATTCTCGAGAGAGGAGCGCTTGGCTCAGAGAAAGGAAATCAAGATGAGAGTTACAATGAAGGTTTGTTTAAATACAAAAGATCACTCAAGTTCACACAAGCTCATGGCTTACTAGTTTTATTTAAATTTATAGCTTATCTTCATGATCATGATCATTATTATCATGACCATGACCATTGATTATCATGGCCATAAAGTTTCAGGTTCATCAATGGCCTCACTTGTTTCCTCACCAATCGGATCGACTCTCGATTTGAGCGTAGCTGATTCAATCGAACCGATGAATGCCGAATATATGGAACCCCTAGAAATCCCAGATCAAGAATCAACCGGCACATTGAGCGATGATGGCACAGAGGTTTGTTAAGTTCTTAAATCCAGCTAGCTCTGTCCAGCTGGAATCCAGCTAGCCGTGTCCAGCTGGAATCCAGCTAGCCGTGTCCAGCTGGGATCCAGCTAGCCGTGTCCAGCTGGGATCCAGCTAGCTCTGTCCAGCTGGAATCCAGCTAGTTCTGTCCAGCTGGAATCCAGCTAGCTCTGTCCAGTTGGAATCCAGCTAGTTCTGTCCAGCTGGAATCCAGCTAGAATATTTCCATGAACTACAGAAACTAAAGGCCTGTAATAGAGCTTTTTCTTTTCTAGTCTACTCAATTCTTTTACGTTAAAACCATTGCTTTAGCTTCAGACTTGAACTAAAGAAAAATTGATAAATCATCGATTTTAGCAAGGCGAAATCATCGACCCATTGCTTCATTCGGATTTGTATGAAGAACAACGACAAGAAGAAGAAGAAGCAAAGAAACATGAGCTCTCACAGCAAGTTCAATCACCACAAACACCGCGAAAAGTAGAGGGAATCCCAAAGAAGTTGCCTGAAGGATTTTGTGAGTTTTTGGAAATCTGTTAATCTTTTGTATTACAAAATTTCGTAAGCTTGAGCTGAACTGAATCCTGTAAGCTTAGTGTTCACGAATGAAATGAACAAGCAAAGTAAACCTGTCTACTATAGCTGTAGTGTCATCTACCTGTCTACAGATGTCATTAGATTTCCTGATTTAGCTTTAGATTAACCCGAAAAATGATTTTGGACAATTCTACAACATTTTGACATTTATTGAACGTAAAATTTTTGAATTACCTAGTTTAGATAGGTAATTCGAACTAGTTTAGATTCCGAATCCGTCAACTGCTTTATCTACTCAGGACTTTTGATAGCAAAGCAATTTCTCCTTGCCGGGATTAAAGGATTAAAAAGTGATCGAGAGGTTAGTGAATAAAGAAGGAAATTAAGAAAAATTTCGAAAATTCTAGGTTCGAATCTCCCACAAAATTTTGGCGTTGAATTGCCTGAAGATGATCGCTCAAATGGATCCCTCAATCGGAAGAAGTCACGTGCAATTGGGTCAGTATATTGGCTTTCAAAGATTGAACTATTAGGTTCAACTATTAGGTTGAACTATTAGATTGAACTATCAGAAATTCTTTGAAATATTAGGTTCGACTATAGTCTAAAGTCAAGCTAAAGTCTATAAATCTAAAGTCAAACTTTGGTTGTCAAACTTTCAGGTGGTTGTGATCAAACGATTTCTGAAATTGCTCGATTTGTGCTTCATGATGACGATGGTTTGTGTGGTGGAGCGATCGATTTCATCGTTACTTGCGATCGTCAGGCGCTTCGAATGGGAATCGCTTTGACAGGTTAAGATTATGCCAATCTAAAGGTGGAGAAGAGCAATGGATCATTTATTTTACTACTAGCAACCCTAATAACACCACGTACCGTAAAAACTCTAGACGGTCATTGTCTATTTGACGACCACTCTCCATTAGACGGCCAACTCTCCAATCGACGGCCATTCTCCATTAGACGGTCACTCTCCAATAGACGGCCACTCTCTAATAGACGGCAACTCTCCATTAGGCCACTCTCCAATAGACGGCCACTCTCCAATAGACGACCATTCTCCATTAGGTCACTCTCCAATGGGCCTTAGGCTTAGGCTCAGGCTTAGGCTTAGGCTTTGGCTTTGGCTTTGGCTCAGGCTCAGGCCTGTTTTAAAATGTAGAACGAGCTTGATTCTTTTGGAAACACTGTTGCCTTTCCCGGACAGGCTATTATTAGCTAAAGAATGCATTTGCCCCCTTCAGAATTGGTCAACCCTCATGTAAAATTAAGGTTTACGGTAATCCATAGCCTAAATATAAGCATTCTGAAGAACTATTTAACTATTTAGACTTTAAATCTAAATTTAAATAACTATTTAGACATGTTCCCTTACTGCGTTCAACGCGTCGAGCACGTTTTTCAACAGAAAAGGAAACGAGCGCTACTCCTCGCGACTATCGACTCAATGGTAGCTCTGAATTTGAACTTACATGCCGAAAATAGAGCGAAAGAGCTAGAGATTTAAGAGCTAGCGATTTAAGAGCTAGAGATTTACGAGCTTGAGCTCAAACTTCCAACAATTTCAATCTTTCAGGAGCTTCTCCTTCACTACGATCTCTTCTCAAACATTTGCCGTCTCACCGTTGAATCTGTGACTGGATCATATAATTTGTACAAGGTTCGGAAAGCTTTTCGCTTCTAGTTTTTTACTTCTTTATTTTTACTTCTTTATTTTTACTTGTTCAGAACACATCAGCGCAATGGATTTCTTCAATAAAATGGTCAATATTGGCACCGAAATTGCGCGAAGAATGGCAGAAAGTATGTCTCTCAACCTTTCTACAACTTCTCTTCATCGGCGAGCCTTCCGTTGAGCAAGAAGTCGCTGAATTGTTGCCAAGGTGAAGCTTTAATTCATTTTCAACATCAAGCTGTTATTGGGGATTCGATTTTCTGATTAATCCATAACTGTATTTGCAGATTGGTGAAGAATTCTGAGCTCGGCGCTCTCACAAACGTTTTCCACTTTACACTCCCAGAAAACCACGTCGGCGAATGTTTTGACGAGATTCCAGTGGTATTTTTTGAAACTTAATGACAAGTTAAGAGAGTTTAAAACTTTATAATCAAAGTTTGCAAACAATTTACTTTACAATCACTTTGCAATCACTTTACGATAGAAAAGTTTGTGAGTTCAATAGTTCAATAGTTCAATAGTTTAATTGTTCAATTGTTCAATAGTTTAATTGTTCAATTGTTCAATAGTTCAATTGTTGAATAGTTTAATAAACTTTAAAAGCATTTCAGGTCCTCGGCCTCCCCTCACCATATTCATTTCGAAACGAGGCCGTCGATTTCATTCACGAAGAGAATCTTGAGTTTATTCTATCAGAAATGTTAAAGATGGCCTCAAGAAATATCACTGAATCCACGGTTTTTTTTCCTTTATCAAGAATTTAAACGAGTTTTTGATTTCAGTCGGGTTTAATCTCGGGTTTGGCAATCCTCGTCGAAGCATTTCCCCCCATCATTCTACCGAGAGTGCTGGCAGAGTGCATTCAGGGTTAGCAATTTTATCAAAGCTTTATAGTTATCAATGTTATCAAAGCTTTATGATTAGCAATGTTATTAAAAGCTTTTCATGAAGTTTTTTATAGTTTTTTGTTAGATTTTCAACTCAATAGCTAAACTTTTCACTAAAATTTGATTTTTAAAATGTTAAATGCCTCAAATGTCAACTGTCGATTCTTGCCAATTTTGCCTACTCGCCTCCCATTTTGCCTACCAATTTTACTCCCGAAAAATCAATCATATCATTGGAATCATTTGAATCATTGAAATCATTGAAATCATTGGAATCATTTGAATCATTTGAATCATTTGAATCATTAGTAGATCATTGGAAAGATCTATATTTTCTGCAAAATTGTTGTTGGCAAAAGCAAAAGCTTTTCTAAAAAGCTTGGGTTTTTCGGGAGCAAAATTGGTAAGCAAAATGGGAGGCGAGTAGGCAAAATTGGAAAGAATCGACACTTGACAACTTTTCTGATGAGAACACTAGCTTTCTATGCTAAAGAAAGAGCTATCTCTGCTACATTTTTAGTAAAAATTTCCAGTAGAATCCATGCAGCCGTTTTCTATTTTCAAATCATTTAGTTATTCAGAGTTATTTTTGGCTTCTAGCAGTACAGAGCGGCTTCTAGCAGTACAGAGCGGCTTCTAGCATTACAGAGCGGCTTCTAGCAGTACAGAGCGGCTTCTAGCATTACAGAGCGGCTTCTAGCATTACAGAGCGGCTTCTAGCAGTACAGAGCGGCTTCTAGCAGTACAGAGCGGCTTCTAGCAGTACAGAGCGGCTTCTAGCATTACAGAGCGGCTTCTAGCAGTACAGAGCGGCTTCTAGCATTACAGAGCGGCTTCTAGCATTACAGAGCGGCTTCTAGCAGTACAGAGCGGCTTCTAGCAGTACAGAGCGGCTTAGCAGTACAGAGCGGCTTCTGGCATTACAGAGCGGCTTCTAGCAGTACAGAGCGGCTTCTAGCATTACAGAGCGGCTTCTAGCAGTACAGAGCGGCTTCTAGCATTACAGAGCGGCTTCTAGCATTACAGAGCGGCTTCTAGCAGTACAGAGCGGCTTCTAGCAGTACAGAGCGGCTTCTAGCAGTACAGAGCGGCTTCTGGCAGTACAGAGCGGCTTAGCATTACAGAGCGGCTTCTAGCAGTACAGAGCGGCTTCTAGCATTACAGAGCGGCTTCTAGCATTACAGAGCGGCTTCTAGCAGTACAGAGCGGCTTCTAGCAGTACAGAGCGGCTTCTAGCAGTACAGAGCGGCTTCTAGCAGTACAGAGCGGCTTCTAGCAGTACAGAGCGGCTTCTAGCAGTACAGAGCGGCTTCTAACTTCTAAAAGCATCGGCTTCTAACAGTACAATCAAATGTCGCCGAATCAAACGGGAATTGAGATTGACAATTTCAATCGAATCGCTTCGAAAACTTATCCAAGCGTGGATAATCGAGTTTTTCAGGTTATACAACTTAGTGCTGGGGCTATTGATTATTGATTTGTCATTTAACTTCTTTGGTTTTATAAGCTTGATAGTTTTGGAGTGGCTCTATAATTAGTTAAAGCCGTGTACAATTGTTCACAAATTTCAGCTTTACAATTTACAAATTACAAAGCTCTCTTTCTTTCCAGCTTACTGTCAAGGGTTTAGTTTACTTTACAACCAAATAGCAATACAATCAATATCACTTTCAGGGTCAATCCGGAGCCGTCGGTCTTTTGTCACTCGTTGTTGAGATGGGCGAGTTGAGTGCCGGTTCTTCACAAACGCTCATCAAAACTTTCGCGGTGGTGTCGAATTTGTTTGCTGGTTTGTTATATTGAGTTTTCACCTAGTTTTTCAACTAGTCTTACCCTAGTTTAAAATTGAACATTTGAAATCTTTGGCTCGAAGAACTCAAAATTCAACATTCACAGGTCAAATGGAGGGCCAACTGATGCGCGTTGTTCATGAGCAGATGATTCCCGATCGAAAATCTTTGCCAAAGCAATTGGACTCACTTCTAACGGAGAGACTCGTTTTGCTGCCATTGAGGTATAGAAGTTTGAAAATTCGAGTTTTGGTATTATCTAGGACTGGTTCTCGAAGCCAGATCAGACTTGGCTTGGCCAAGCTTGACCAAGCTTGGCTTCACCAAGCTTGACCAAGCTTGGCTTGACCAAGCTTGACCAAGCTTGGCTTGACCCCAGATCAAACTTGGCTTGACCCCATGGCCTACAAAATTTTTAGGGTCAAGGTCAGCCATTCCAAATGAGTATAGCCTCGCTGGCTTGGCAATTTGACCTTATTGCAATTTGGCAATTATTATACGAGCATGGCCGACTGGTTAGGAATTCCCCTCTCCCGATCAGAATCCGATCAGATCAGAGGATCAGAGGCTCGATCCCGCCGGGTCGAAAATCTGTTCTTTTTCCCACATAAAATTGGGTTTTTTTTCCAACATCGTAGGCGTTTATTGTGTTGAGTTGTAGGCGTTGTTGTAGGCGTTGTTGTAGGCGCTGTTGTAGGCGCTGTTGTAGGCGTTGTTGTAGGCGCTGTTGTAGGCGTTGTTGTAGACGTTGTTGTAGACGTTGTTGTAGCCGTTGTTGTAGATGTTGTTGTAGGCGTTGTTGTAGGCGTTGTTGTAGGGGTTGTTGTAGGCGTTATCGTCTTTGATCACATTATGCTTGTGAATAAATGTATTGTTAGAATCAGTCGTGGTAGAATCTGACTGTATCTCACAAGGAAAAGCACAAGTCTGAGGTGGCCCAATGATATAAGCCATGCACCATTTTGCGCAGAATTTTACGCTGATTCCGATGCTGCTATCCGATTTTGTAAAATGATTCAAAAACGGGAGGAAACTGGCAAACTCTAGCATCTGGAAAATCTGGTCAAATTAGAGGTCAAAAATCATTCACTTTATAGATTGCTGTGTTGTTAACCAGTGCCTATAAAGCTTCTTTCACCGTCGTGAGACGCGGGCTCGTGGTGTAACGGCTAAGGGTCTCATTTCCGAAACAAGATCAGCGTAAAATTCTGCGTAAAATGGTAGATGGCTCATGTCATTTGGCCATCTCAGTCTTGGGAACAGCCTTGTCAAATTGCCGTATTTTCTCTAATAGTAGTGCACCCTGATCGTCGTCTAAATTCCTCTAGATCTCGAGATCCGCTTATCAGAACCTATCGATGTGGGGTCGGAAAATGTAGTTGACGATGAGATCTAGTGGGGGATTAAAGTGTTGAGCTTCTGGGAAGAATGGGGAACTGTAAAATAGGCATCAACTCGGCTCGACTGGATGCACTACTATTAGAGAAAATCTTCCCCATTAACTCAATTTTCGTTTTACAACTTGATACAACAGTTTACAATTATCGTTTTATCACCAAGCCTTTACCTTTTTTAGAGTGCTCAATGTCTACTACTCGTTAGTCACCGAGCATCGATCCCTTCAAAACCAATCGTCAACCGGGCTTCTCTCTCGACCGAATATCACTCAAATCAGCAATATCAAAACAGCTAGCTCCGCAAGGTTATATGATTTTAAAATCAAATAATAATCGCTTTTAGAATCGCTGACATCTCTCGCTTGCTTGGAACAAGTATTCATCCGACAAAATCGAGCTCTTTCCTCGAGTCACCCTCTCTAAAGACGATGTTCCCACAAATTCGTGGAGCTTATCTAAACTTTTTGGTAAGATCTAATGATTCTAGATCTAATCTAGATCTAATTCTAGATCTAATTCTAGATCTAATTCTAGATCTATGCTAGATCTATTCTAGATCTAATTTTAGATCTAATTCTAGATCTATTCTAGATCTAATTCTGGATCTATTCTAGATCTAATTCTGAATCTATTCTAGATCTAATTCTAGTTACTGTAAAGCCAAATCTTTGTCTGACTACAGATTTATATGCAAATTTTCATTTAGGAGAAAATCGGCTTCGAACAAGATCGCCGTTTCATCGAGCTGTTATCTTCAGCATTGGATTGTCTCTGTGTCCTTCTTGAAATGGTCACATATCAAGCAATTCGCCCGCTATTGGAAGAGATCTTGTTGTACTTAAAGGTATGTACTTAAAGGTATTAATCTAAATGGGGAATTTCATTCTTTCATCACTGATACTTCACTGATACTTCACTTTTTACGTCTAGATCATTTTCGAATTGGATCCCCATCATTGTACTCGAGTCTTGCATCAACTCTTCAAATTGATCTTCGGGAAAAATGCGACAAATATCAATTTGGAAACTCTTCAGCAACTGAATATGAAACATCCATTGCCTCCATCGGGTAAATCCAAAAAAGAAATAAACTTAATATTGGGTTGTCCAGTTATGAATGCGCGTCTTTACTATTTTGTAAATTTCTCAAGACATCGAAGAGATGTTTATGAGTGTTATATATCATTCGAAAGCTGAGGATCTCCTCTACATTTTGATATAAAAAGCTTTGGAATTTGTTCAGCTTTTGGGCAAATTGATTGCACAAAGGGAGAGGTCGTTTTCGAAAAAATTCATTTCAGCTTAGCTATTCCTCAAGTTTTATGGTGTAAAATAACCGCCCAGAAAAGAAACGAAAAGTAAAGATGCTCTGAAATTGTTATATTTAAAAAAAAGTTATATTGATATATCTATTGGCCAAACATCAAACGGTTAACTCAATTTGAGCGGAGCCAAAACTTGATCCAAAGGCCACCTTCCATTTTTTGGCCACCTCTTCTTCTGTGCCATCAATTTGCCCAAAAGCTGAACAAATTCAAAAAACTTTTTTATCAAAATGTAGAGGAGATCTTCAGCTTTCGAATAATACTAATAGATACCTTTTTCTTGATTTCGGTATCTTGAGAAATTTATAAAATAGTAAAAAACGCGCATTCATAACTGGACAACCCAATATTTTAAAATTCAGATAAACTTGACATGTACCTTGTTCGCTCGATCAACGAGTTCACCCTTTTTGCCGCTTTTCTGAACAGAGCCGAATTTCTCGATGTTTATGTCAGAAGGTGAGGCTAGATTTGAATCCAATTTTCTATTAATTAACAAAGAAAACTGATATTTTGTGTGTAAAAGTGGCCACAGGATAAACAAAAGTATCACGGTTGCAGTACAGGGTCGTCCAATATTATAGCGCCACACTTCAGAGAGCCTAGATTGGTCTAGATTGACCTAGATTGGCCTAGATTGACCTAGATTGGCCTAGATTGGCCTAGATTGGCCTAGATTGGCTTAGATTGGCCTAGATTGACCTAGATTGGCCTAGATTGGCCTAGATTGGCCTAGATTGACCAAAATTGAATCAATCGTTCTGATTTTTCTGGAGATAAATCTTTAGTATGTCTTCTAGAACGGTGCTGATTATCTAATCAATTCAAGCTTTCAACTTTTTTATATAACCTTTCAAAGTTGAGAGCCGAGTCTCGCTCGGGCGCCGGCTACTCATGGGATTTTTGAGAGAGATCTTGTCAAAATCACATTGAGATTGGCTTTATTATGTTAATGAACAAAATTTCACATGTTCTAAGCAGTTTAAGTGCAAAATTGGGACCTTTACAGTTAACGGTGGGGGGTATCGTTTATCGGCGGGGGCCGAGTTTTTGATCAACTTGCATCCCACTTTTAAATAGGTTTATGTTAGTAACTTTTGATAAAACAAATAGTTTCTTAAAGCTGACGTTCTAAGCTATCTAAATCTTATTAAAACTTTCTGATTTGACAAATTTAAGGTGTTGAAAAATGAGCGGCAAGTTGGCTAAAAGTTCGGCCCCCGCCGCCTCCGATAACCATTTTACAGCCCGATTTTAAATAGTTTTTTGTTAATAACTTTTGATAAAACAAATAGTTTCTTAAAGCTGACGTTCTAAGCTATCTAAATCTTATTAAAACTTTCTGATTTGACAAGTTTAAGGCGTTGAAAAATGAGCTGCAAGTTGGGCAAAAAATTGGCCCCCGCCGATAATCGCTACCACCCGCCTATCACTGTAATATGGTTAAATGGTACTCAATCAGCACCACTATAGGTCATGGTGATTATTGTATCACTGATACCGTAAGAGTACCTCCAAATGAAGCCTAACATAACGAAGGAAAAAAAGCCTTTAGACATGTGGGTTGGTTGAGAGCCGATCTCCTCTCCAAAGTGCACGTTCCACCGAATTGGGAGATCACCTCAGCTCTACTCCTCTTCGAGGGTTTCATCAATCGTTTAATCAATATGTATCCAATCTACAATTCGATTCCTCTCAAATGCGCGGTAAGAAAACTTTTTAAAAGACGAGTGGGCCCACAATGATGGTGGCCAATTCTAAGTGCGAATTTTTTTCCCAGAGAATCAGATTCCAGATTTTCCGATAACAACAATCTATTCAATATCACTTTCCGTCTCATTAAATGTTCTTGATAATGCTGATAATTAAATTTTTGATAATTAAATGTCCAGGATAATGCTGATAACCGTAGCCATACCTTGAAAATCATTTCTACAGGATATGGCTATGGTTATTAGCATTATCCTTGAGAATTGTACCATAAGATAGCATTATCTAGGATAATTGCACCACGCAACAAGATAAAATTCTGATTTTAAAGCAGAAAAGAGCAAAAGAAAGACAAATTTTTAACTGAATAACATTTATTGTACATTTATTGTACATTAACAATTATAAATCAACTGTTAAATTCGAATCAGCCACCGCCGCTTCGAATTAAATAGGATTTGAGTAAGCTCGTAGGCGTTTTTTCGGGAAGGCGTCAACGGTGACGACCAAATAACTCTTTTAACAATGATTTCTTCAAGCTTTCGATATTTTTGCGGGCATTTGGTTGAGATTTGTCCCATACTCGATCATTTTGCTTGTTAAGAAGGCCTTCAACCGTGATCTTTTCATCTTTTCATCTGTGAACAAGATATTGTGATGGTCGATTCCATTGAAGCGCATCAATCTCTGTTCTGCTCTCAATTTTCCCTTGTTTTTAGCGGCCAGATTTCAAGAGCGACCCCGCAACATATAGGCAACTTTTCACAGCCGTCCGCGTGCCCGTTTAGCTCAGTGGCAGAGCGTCTGTCTCGTAAAAGATCGGGGAAACAGAAGGTCGACGGTTCAATCCCGTCAGGGGGCAATCTTTTTGCCTAAAATCTATTATTAAATCTAAAATGTCTAGAATACGTCTAAAATAATGAGATTCTAAATTCCTAAAAGCAAAAAAAAGCAAAACCCCCCCGAATTGGTTCACAATTCTATCTATTCTTGATCTTGATCATGATCATCTGAAACAGCAGCATTGCTTTGTGAAAAACGAGGACCTTTTGCCTTGTTTGAATCGGTTAAAGCCTGTTATAAATCTTCAGCCGTTTTGTAAGTAGAAACTTGATTCTTATAGTTGTTTTTTACCCTTTTTTTTTATTTTGTTTTTTACCGTTCTTTCTTACCCTTCTTTCTTACCGTTCTTTCTTACCGTTCTTTCTTACCCTTCTTTCTTACCGTTCTTTTACCTTCTTTCTTACCGTTCTTTCTTACCCTTCTTTCTTACCGTTCTTTCTTACCCTTCTTTCCTTACCGTTGTTTCTTACCCTTCTTTCTTACCGTTCTTTCTTCTTACCCTTCTTTCTTACCGTTCTTTCTTACCGTTCTTTCTTACCCCTCTTCTCTTCCTTCTTCCTCTTTTCACTTCCTCCTTTTTTTTTTTTTGTTCTTTCTTACCCTTCTTTCTTACCGTCCTTTCTTACCGTTCTTTCTTACCCTTCTTTCTTACCGTTCTTTCTTACCCTTCTTTCTTACCGTCCTTTCTTACCGTTCTTTCTTATTGTTTTCTTGTTTCTTATGATGATTATCTAGAAAAAAAGAATAGAATCGATAGAATCGACCGTGATCATCGTTTTAATGTAATTTGCATTAGTCAGTCAGGCATTAGTCAGCCAGGCATTAGTGTTGAACAAGTTAGGAAATGCAAAAGCAGCAAAAGCAGCAAGCAGCAATTGGATTCAGATTCTTGGGTGATGTGTGAGCTTCCACGAGACGGAGTCAAGTATGCACTCGCTGATCCGAAAGCGAAACTTTTCGAGGCAATTCTGAGTCAAATCGATGACATGATGTCTTCACATACATCAATGTTGAGACAAGTATTTTACATTTAAAAAAAAGTTTATCTTTAGCATATTTAAACCAGGTTTTTCTCTACTTGATCGTCTTGGTAAAGACGAATTTTATCGATTGGAACCGTTTGGAGGGGATTTTGGGGTCAATGATAGAGAAAATCACGGAGAACAATGTGAAACATGGTCAGAGTTTTGGATGCTTTGCTTTTTGCTTTTTGAAATTGAAAAATATAATATCTAAATGTTTATAGTGTCTAAGAAGAATCAAAAACAAGAAAGTGTTGTTTAAAAAGTTTTCTTTTAGCCCTATCCGCGCTTGATGTGGTGATTTGTGAGGGTTGATCGTTCAGAAGAAAACCGGGGGATGAATTGTGAAATTATGGCTTTCGAAAGTCGATCAGATAATCGAATGGGATTTGGAGGCGACGGCATCGATTTGGACAATCTTCTTGCATCACTCGAGGAAAGAAGAGCAGAGGTTGGTGGAAAGGAAAAGATGAGCAAAGGTTAGCTTATCATTGGGATTGTTCATGTAATTGATCTATGTTCAATATTTATGGGCAATTTTTAGCTCGCAGCTCGTTTAGCTCTCTCAAAATTGGTTTATGAAACAAAAGTCGTCAAGAAAGCACTGAATAGGAGTAGGGAAAAACTCGACTTTCTAGATTCCTAGATTCCTAGATTCCTAGATCTCTAGATTCCTATATTCCTAGATTCCTAGATCTCTAGATTTCTAGATTCCTAGATTTCTAGATCTCTAAATTCCTAGATTCCTAGTTTCTAGATCTCTAGATTCCTAGATCTCTAGATTCCTAGATTCCTAGATTTCTAGATTCCTAGATTCCTAGATTTCTAGATTTCTAGATTCCTAGATTCCTGGATTCCTAGATTCCTAGATTCCTAGATTTCTAGATTTCTAGATTTCTAGATTTGATATTGAATTGATAATTGATATTGAACCTTCTGTAGTAAAGTAGTAGTAAGTGTGAATTCAGATAGTTTAAGTTTAGGTAGTAGTTGTATACAGTTGTAGTTTAAGAATGCTCTCAAACGTTCTACACAAATTAAGCTGAATGCTTTAAAGCTCAAGTGCTTATCGAATGATTCTCAAATAAATCTCGAATAAATCTCAAATAAAATCTCGAAAAAATGCAACTTAAGAAGCCTCCACCATGCTACACTACAAAGGTCCAGGTAAACCATATGTTGGCTTTGCTTGAAGGGCTTTTGGGGTACCATCCTTCCTATGTTCACCTCTCGAATTTAGATGGAAAGAATGGTCACTTGAGGCTTGGTCTCATTATCGAGAGTTCATCAAATCATCGCGAAACAAAGCAAAATTCTCCTCTTGTCATGCGCAAATCGTCTTTCTTAGTTGCTTGGCTCCACAAACTTTTCGTCCAATCGACTCGTTCTTTAAAACCCTCAAAGCGGTTCTCTATGATACGGTATGTCAAATTTTGTCAAGAATTACTTGCAAAACTCTAAAAATCAGGGATTTTGAGGGTTTTTTGATAAAATAGTATATGTTACGGCAGATCTAGACTGATTCTAGATTAGAAGTTTGATCTAGAAGCAAGCAAGCAACTCTGAAGCAAAGTCCGGCCTAGATGAAGTCGATTACTCTAAATCAAAGTCCGATCTAGATAAAGTCTATCACTCTAAATCAAAGTCAACCTAGAAGCAAGCCGATCACTCTAAATCAAAGTCCAACCTAGAAGCAAGCCGATCACTCTAAATCAAAGTCCAACCTAGAATCAAGCCGATCACTCTAAATCAAAGTCCAACCTAGAATCAAGCCGATCATTCTAAATCAAAGTCCAACCTAGAAGCAAGCCGATCACTCTAAATCAAAGTCCAACCTAGAAGCAAGCCGATCACTCTAACTCAAACGTCCGATTAGATTTAGAGTGAATGCTCTAGATTGGACGTCTGATCTAGAGCCAGTCTAAATCCGACGTAACATATAAACCGTAACATATAAACTGTTTAGACACTGGACTCTTCAACAAAACTCGGCAAATCTTTTCCTCTCATTTTCACAATGATTGCTTTCATGTCGGAAGACAAAACCCTTTCAAGAATGGAGCAATTAGCTGAGAATCCAAACGAGTTATTGGTTAGGTGAGAAAATGCTCATTGTACTTCATAAAGTTAAGCTTTTTTAGCTTTATTAGCTTTAAATATTATACCTTTATTCCTTATTCTTGTATAATATCTATTTTTTTTTTGAGAAAATCAACGTTAAGGGGAATCTTTGACATTGTTTGGAAAGCAACGGATGAGATGAAAAAACGAGACAAAGATGCTGAAGAGATTATCGTTTTTACTCTACAAACGATGGCCTACTGTTTGCGATCAGGTATTGTTGGGTTGTCGTTAGACTGAAGAGATTGTCGAATTGAATTGAATTGAATTGAATCCAAATCCAGATCCAGATCCAAATCCAGATCCAAATCCAAATCCAGATCCAAATCCAAATCCAAATCCAAATCCAAAAGAAAATTGAATCCGTAGTTAAACAGAAAACCCCAAAAAAAGAACAAGCAATTCAGCATAAACGAAATTTCAGACAAGTTGCCGAAATTCTCCGCCTTGCTTCGCTATTACACGCCAGTTGATCCACTAAATCTATTACTGAAGCTTCAAAAGTTGTCGCCTCATCTCTATGTGCATTGGTTGTCTTTCTTCTCGTTGACCCCCTCAGCGCTCTCCGTTTTCACCAACACTCTGACAAATTCGACTACTGATGGGTGAGGAAATTTTGTTGTCAGCTAATTGTGTTCCCTCTCTTTCTTCCTTTCTTTCTTCCTCTCTTTCTTCCTCTCTTTCTCCTCTCTTTCTTCCTCTCTTTCTCCCTCGCTTTCTCCTCTCTTTCTTCCTCTCTTTCTCCTCTCTTTCTCCTCTCTTTCGTCCTCTCTTTCTCCTCTCTTTCTTCCTCTCTTCCTTTCTTCCTTTCCTCTTCTTCGTCTTTCCTATTTCTTCTTGGTCAAAGAAGGCGCCGGTAGCACAGTAGTAGAGTATCTGTCCGGTAAGCAGGTCGATTCCCCCTCGTTCCCAAATTCTTTGCCATTCATTTCTTTACTTTATTAGATCAATTGTATCTACTAGTGAAGTTGTGAAGTGAATCTACAATTGTGAATCTACAAATTTTCAATTCTATCTACTAGTCTTTCAGTCATGTTGTGAATATCACGATGCTTCTCTTGATCGATTTGATTCAAAGTGAAAGCCTTTCGGATACTCATCTCTTTGCGTTGTTTACACCGAAAGAGGCCCTCAATCTACCATTTCTTTTGATTCAAATCGCTGAGAAGAAAATGATCGAGACATTTGTTGGGTGAGTGAGGGGAAAGTTTTATTTGATATGACTCTGGTGGGCTTCACGTTATGCACAACTCAGTCAAAAACTCTGGCAGAATGCTGGCCTGCCACGCGAGCGATCCGGGTTCGATTCTGGGCCTGGGAAAGAAAATAGAAATACAGTTGCGAGCTTTATTCATTACACGAAAAGTCTAGCGGTAGCTGTTAGAAATATAAGTGCTGGGAGTGGGACAAATGCGACCTTTTTTTTGCGCACCCGGACATTTGCGCACCTTTTTTTCCGGACTTTGCCCATTAGCGCACCTTTTTTCGCGTTTTAAAAAAGCTCTAAAAAGCTAATATTAACCAATTTCTATTCCAAAAGTTGTTTTTCTAGGTTCTAGGTAATTTTAGGGCGTAGAATCGAAATTTTGGCATATCAGAGCTTGTGGAAACAAACGGACGGAGTTATACAAAGAGGAAAATCGACACTAATTTGAGTCTGTAATTTGATCTAGCCGTTTTGTCTTTCGAATTGGTTCCGTCCGTTTGTTTCCACACGCTCTGTTATGTCAAAATTTCGATTCTACGCCCTAAAATTACCTAGAAAAACAACTTTTGGAATAGAAATTGGTTAATATTAGCTTTTAGAGCTTTTTTAAAACGCGAAAAAAGGTGCGCTAATGGGCAAAGTCCGGAAAAAAAGGTGCGCAAATGTCCGGGTGCGCAAAAAAAGGTCGCATTTGTCCCACCTCCAGTTTTATGAATTGATCAACGCATTTGTCCCACTCCCTAAGTACTTATTTCTCGGAAAATCTTTGCTAGCTGGGAGAAAAGGACATCATAGACATAAAATAAAGAAATTCAAATCTAAGAGTGGCAGTTTGAACTGTTAGCAGTTTGAAAGTGGCAAGAAAAGATCGCATAACAAAAGAGATTTCGCATAGCTGTTATGGTAATCTTTTTGTTTTACAATTTTTCTTTTAACTTTCACAATTTCAATTTTAGGGCATTGGATGAGAAACCATATGAGCATTTTCTTTCTTCAACTGCACAAGGAGCGCTAGAGTCTTTGAACTTGAAGGTAACGATTTGAAAAGAAAATATATGCTAAAAATTGACTCTTGCGTAGTTTCCGAGTATTTTCGGATATTTGAATCCGGATATTTGAGAAAAATCCGACTATTTTGAACGGGTCGTTACGCTTTGAAGGTCTATAACTTTGCCCAGAGATAACATTTTTGCTAACCCGTTATATAATTCTACAGAGGACATTTCAAGCTTTCAAATGATACTAAATAGAGCTTGACTGGATTTTTCATTCCCATGAAAACCAGGCGACACAGCACCCGAGTTGCAAAGGTCTCATCTGCTCAGAGTTAGCTCTGATCTTCTTGGACTGAATTATCCAATCAAGCTTTATTTAGTATCATTTGAAAGCTTGAAATGTCCTCTGTATAATGATATAAGAAGTTAGCGAAAATATTGCCTCTGGACAAAGTTATAGACCTTCAAAGCGTGACGACTCGTTCAAAATACCCGGAAACTACGCAAGAGCCGAAGCTTCAAACTGTTCATCTCTTTTTTATGGGATTTCCTGCATCATTTGATTGTTTAATATATCAATAATGCAGTTTGAAATGTATCGTTGCAAATCTGAAATGTATAAAATAGAGCTTGATTGGATAATCGAGTCCAAGAGAATTAGAGCCAACTCTGAACAAATGAGGCTTATGTAACTCGGGTGTTATGTCGCCTGGTTTTCATGGGACTGAATTATCCAATCAAGCTTTATTTAGTATCATTTGAAAGCTTGAAATGTCCTCTGTAGAATTATATAAAGAGCTAGCAAAAATATTATCTCTGGACAAAGTTATAGGCCTTCAAAGCGTGTTGACCCATTCAAAATAGTCGGATTTTTTCAAAGTACCTGGATTCTTTTAAAATACCCGGAAATTACGCAAGAGTCTAAAAATTTGATTCAAATATTAGCTGAAAGCTGAAAGCTAATGAAAAAGTTATGATAAATTGAAGAACGTTCTGAACTGTCAAACGTCATAGCATCTAAATTTTAGGCCGCTTTCGACACACTGACGTTAACGAAAAGGTTCATCGAGAAATTCGAGAGAATCCCGTGTGAAGAAGAGCTAAAACGGCTAGACGAAGGAATTAAAGGAATCAGTCGAAAATTGCACGAGAAATTCCTCGAAATCCTCTCCCAAACTGGTCAAAACCCATTCGAGGGTGTCGCAGCGTTGACCACTTCGAGTGCTCCGGAGTTCTTCGCGCTCACTTTGAAACATTTCGACAATTGTCCAATCGATTCGACTCTTCAAAATGTCACTCATCTACCAACACAACATTTATATGATATTTTCGAGAGCTTGGTTAGTTCTACAATCATTTTTTTTAGTCCTTTTTTGTTTGTTAAGCATCCATCACAACGAGAGCACTTCTTCACGATTTGTTTAGAATCTATTGAAGCTATTGTGATATCAAAATCAGGTAAATTTAAAGAATTTTACTGAATAATGAAGAAAATGGAAGAAAATGAGAGAAAATGAGAGATTTTTATAGATTTTTACGAAATTTAGCCTTACCTGAAGAGCAACGAGGAGCCAATGCAAGGGCTCAAGAGATTCTCGAGATTTTAGAAGATTTCATCTCACAAAATCCTCATTTAGCTCTTCATTTGTATTCAAAGATTGGACCAATCGTAAGAAAAGAAAGTCGACAATGAAACTTGACGAAAAAATCCTTTAGTTAGTGACATCGAATCTGACTTGGTCCGATTTCAGCGCTGAATCGATCGACTCTTTGATTCAATACTCCACCGGACTATTAGTAGATCATCTAAAATTTCTGAAATTCAAATTACTTCAGAGAAAACATCCACTAAATGTTCTTGGTGATCGAATCGAGGGACTTGGCTTTTTGCTCGGTTCACCGTCATCAAGAGAGATCTTTCGATCGAACCCTTTCTGCCACTTGCAATCGCTTAAAGTTCTTCTGCACGAGCTTGCCTATTTTCTTGCCACAGTAAGTTGTAAAGGTTTTAAACATTTAACTGTGATAGGTTAAAAGAAAAGAACCAACATTGCTAATCTTGTGTCGAATAGAGTCCAGTGGATAAAATGTAGCATATATTGGGTTGGTGAATTGAAAACTGCGGGACTTTGGACTAAAATTTATTGAACATAAAACCATGAATTCATTCCAAATAATTTCCATTGTTATTGACGATTTCTGACCATTTTAAAGGCAATTTGCGGATTCCTCTTTCGTAGTAGGATTTTGGTTTGTGTGTGAGACTCAGAAATGGAGGACTGGAGATGGAGACTGGAGATCCCAGTTTGAGCACTTTCTTCAAAAGAAACCCATTTTGGTGTCAATAGAAAAGTTGTAGAGAATCAAAAATTAGGCTTATAGCCAAATTTCCAAAAAGATACACTTAGTAGTTTTGCTTAAAATCCAAGTTTTGTTGCAAGTTTTGTGAAAATTCGTAAATTTGGCATTTCTTGAAAACCAGTTTTTGAATCGTTCTGAAAATTTGGATATAAGCTTGATTTTTGATTCTCTACAACTTTTCCATTGACACCAAAATGGGTTTCTTTGAAGAAAGTGCTCAAACTGTCACATATGACAATAGCCCGCAGTTTTCAATTCACCAACCCAATAAAATGTGCAAATCTAAAGAAAGTCAACGAAAAAAGTATTGGGTTGAACCGAATGAAACTGCCCTTTTCTACATAACAACTTTATTGCTAAAGTACTGCGAAAAACAACAATTATTCTATTCGTCATTGTTTTCAATGATCCTTTCAATGATTTCAATGATCCGCTTTTCCTTCAAAGGTAAGAAGAGAAATGGAGAACCAGGAAAACAAGCAAGAAAACAGGTTTTAAATAACATGAAAATACATTGATTAGATAACAATCAACATTTAATGACAAAAGATTTAGCGGCGGTTTCATTCGGTTCAGCCTAGACATGGGCGTTGTAAAAAGGGACCCGAGTCGAGCCACGTGAGTCACGAGTCAGTCGAGTCACAAGTCAGCCGAGTCAAAAGTCGAATCGTCAAGGACCTCTAACTCGACTCAACTCGCGGCTCATGTCTGGTTCAACCTAATAGAATAATAGAATATTCTCTCTAATAGTAGTGTACCCTGATCATCGTCTAAATTGCTCGAAATCTCGAGAACCGCTTATCAGAACCTATCGATGTGGGGTCGGAAAATGTAGCTGACGATGAGATCTTGTGGAGGATTAGAGTGTTGAGCTTCTACGAAAGCTTGAGAACTGTAAAATAGTCACCAACTCGGCTCGGCGGGGTGCAGTACTATTAGAGAGAATACGGTATAAAAAGTAACAATTAGCCAGCAAGATCAATAGTCAATAGATCAATAGATCAAAGTCGAGCTCATGTCATTTGTCAGTTCATGTCATTTGGCCACTTTACTCTGTTGACCTCCCATTGTTAGTAAAAAAGCGGTACCGGGGAGTTTTCCCACGTACCGGGGACTTTTCCCACGTACCGGGAACTTTTCCCACGTACCGGGGACTTTTCCCACGTAAACTTGCAGATATTGATTCGCATATTAAATTGACATGGATTAAAATGACAAAAACTAAATACTTATAGCTCTGATTCGTGCAAATTTTCATGCAAATGCAAATTCATTGCAAATTAGAAATATGAGAACTCTAGATTCAATTGATCCTTTTCAGTCCACTCACGAGCCATTCAACACGGGCGACATCTCAGGTCTTGACATCACGGGTCTTTCTAGTGAATCAGAAAAATTTAGTGAGTACATAAAGAAAGTGAATTTGCAAAAATTTCATTTAGAACATTTATCTGAGCTTTTCGATATTGTACAGTATATTGTGATGTTATTTCGGAAACAAAAAATCGACATGGCAACTCCGGGAGTGCTAAAGTTAGAGAAAACGATTCGTGGTAAACGATTTGGTGGTCGTAAAGTTTTTGATTTCAAAACTTTAGCGATTTTTCGCCATCCTGTTCTACACGCGATGGCTTTAGTGCCAGAAACGGCTATGAAGTGAGTAGGGTGAAAGAAAAAAGTAAAGCATTCGATTATGCTGGAAAACGGTTCATTCAAAACTGGCATACTTTAGTGGAACTTTGGCATACTTTAGTGGAAAATTGATATACTATAGAGGGAAATTTCAGTACAAATTTGTTCAGAATGGAATGGAAACCTCGAGCTGAAGTTAGAGGAGAGACTCAAGTGGTTATTCCGTTGGTGAACATTCATCTCTTGTGCAACGTTGATGTGCTTTCTGATTTCACTTGGAGAGTTGGTTTTAAATTGATGTTGACAAGATCGAATTATCCATCAGCCATCATTTTGACTTTGGTCTGACTTTTCATTGTCTACTAGGCCAAGAGACAAGCCAAGTTGGTTTTAAATTGATGTTGACAAGATCGGATTATCCATCGGCCATCATTTTGACTTTGGCTTGCCTTTTAGGCCAAGAGTCAAGCAAAGTTAAACTAAAGTCAAGTCAAGGACAGACTTTGGAACAACCTGTCAACCCAATAACTACCGTAAAGTACTCGTAAAGTACGTAAAGTACTACCGTACTCCTCCCCCATAATGACGGGGTGGAGTGCTTTGTAGTGTAGCTGTAGCTTGTAGTGTAGCTGTAGCTTGTAGTGTAGGTGTAGCTTTGAACTTGTTTTTCTCGACACTGGTTTATGCTACAATGCTCGCTTATGTATCAAAAAATAGCTGAAATTCAGGGCTACTTTTTGGTACTAAATACACATCTTTTGAAAGTATCGGTGCTTTGAAAATTAGCAAGGTGTCTAATGAAATCTAAAAAGCTTTTGCGACTACGCGACTATTACATTTACGGCGATGGAATGATCAGTTAAACCTCTCATCTCTTTAAATAAGAATCACTCTTAAATGCTAAAGAACTAAGCTTTATCACTACTATTTTCAGATACGCTGGCTTGGATGGACATCTCGGCAACAATTCGAGGATTTATGGATGAGCCTATTCGGCGTTCTCTCAAGTACACCAACTGGTACTGAGTTGACTCAAGAGAATGCATCGGTCAGTGAAAAATCAAAGGAACATTTTGATAAATCTCTTTTAGCAATACACGGAGCAAATCCTAGCCTCAGCTAATGCAGTCAATAGTCTGACAGAGCTTCTCTTGTCCTCATTGCTTTATCCAGAACCGGGAAACACTTTCAACAGCAATTTTGTCGTGAAACATCGCGAAAGAACGGAAACTCATCGAAACAAGTTTGTTATTAATGATCTTACAAGTATTTATTTATTTAGATCAATGAAATTTAGATCAATGAAACAAGCAAGTGCCATCAAAGCTCGATTGATCGACGACAAAGATCCGCAAACGATCTTCAACAGAAATATTGAGAGACTAGTAAGTTTAGTTGCAAATAGAATATGTGAAAAATATCGTATTCTCTCTAATAGTAGTGCAGAGCCGAGTTGATGACGATTTTACAGTTCCTAAGCTTTCACAGAAACTCAACACTCAAATCCCCCACTAGATCTCATCGTCAGCTACATTTTCCGACCCCACATCGATAGGTTCTGATAAGCGGTTCTCGAGATCTAGAGGAATTTAGGCGACGCTTAGAGTGCACTACTATTAGAGAAAATACGGTAAATTGGATACGAACTACAGAAAAGGTTTACGCAAACGGGAGAATGTCTTGAAGTCGGGTGAAGTAGAGAATGTCGGGAGAAAAATTGTTAAACAACACTTGTTAAACAGTTCAACTTTACTTAAAATTTTGAATTTGGTACCAATTTCCTTTTAAAGGACAAGCAAGAGCTTGTTAATCTTGTGAAGGAAAAGTTGAAATCAGTGTGGGTGTTGAGCTTAGTCTCTAGTTGAGTCTCTAGCAAGCTTTAGGAGAGTGTTTGGGAGTGTTAGAATTCGACTGTGTTCCTCGTGAGTAAGTAATCGCTCAAGTAGGTGTTTAGGTGACGCTTAGAGTGCACTATTATTAGAGAGAATACGGTATTTGTTTTGTAAAGATGGGATTTATCAGAATGTTTATCAGAATGTATTTAGATTCACGAAGTTGGTTCAAAGTATGGCCCAGGCCAACTCTCAGCGCTTGCCTTGTGGAATCTGACTGGAGTATTGAGAGATGAAAAGATGCCAAATAGTCCCTCAAATAGTCCGGTGAGTACTGCGATTTTTATGGGCTTATTGCGTTGATGCAGTGAAAATGAATCACTTTCTCCAAACTCTTTTTAGAGGCAATTAATGCATCAATTGATTTACGACCGACTTTATTAGAAAGTTCAATTATTTTTCTGCAAAAAAATCTTTGAAATGGGTTATTAAAATAACTTTGAAATGGGTTGTGTTTGGATTTTTGCAGGCCCACAAAGTCGAGCAGTTAAAAGAAGCAAAAGAAGTAAAAATCATTTTCAATTGTCGTATTGTCGTACTTCAAAAAATTCTGCTAACTCACAAAAAGTTAGTGTGCGAAAAAAAAGTCACGCACTGTGAGAGGGTACCGATGGGGCAATGATTATTTAGATCACAATGATTATTTAGATGAGGCAATGATTATTTAGATCAAATATAGCACAATCAATAGTCTAGCGAGAAAATACAATAAAATATTAGGGTGGCGCAAAAGAAACTGCCGATTTGGCGGTAAATTCAAAAAAAGATCGCGTTCGATGGTGACATGATCACAATGGAATATTTTCGCAAGATCTCAAGCAGATTGGCATGGATCGGCCTGAATAACGTCCCTCAGTTTGGCTTCGTTCACGACTTCTGGCCTCGAACCGTGCTCGTAATCTTCCAAACTAGCCAAACTTGCGCAACTAGCCATAACAAATAAGTTTCTTCTAAGTCGGCCAATCTTTATGATGTTGGTTTCATTTTGTTGCACTTATTGAGATCTACAAAATGAAATCAAAATCATAAAGATTAGCCGACTTAGGAGAAAGTTATGGGGAGTTGCGCAAACGACCCAGTTGCGCAAATAACCTTGTTGCGCAAAAAAAATTGCGGAAATTAGCCTACCCCTCGCTTTTTAAACTTGCAAAATATAAAAAATAACAAATCAACATTTCATTATTGCCAACCTAATAATTAAACTTTTTATTTAAAGCAAACCCACACCTTTATCGGCTAATTCTTCATTTATAAAAGGAAATTTCAAAAAGGTGGACTTTTCCGTCAAACCAATATAACCAAAAATGAATTTTAGAGGATCAGAGCTTCAACCTCCGAATACTTGTTGCGGATGAATTGCGAGCTTGACACGGCCTCCTCTGTGCGCGCACTTTTCGAGAATTATTCGCATTGGCTGAGTCGAGGATTGGAGTTCATCTCGCTGCCGCTTCTATCAGCAACTGTTCGATCAGTGAGTCGTAAAGTCTTGTCGAAAATCTTGGTTACAAATCTTGCTTACAAATCTTGCTTACAAATCTTGCTTACAAATCTTGGCTACAAATTGCTTACAAGTCTTGCTTTCAAGATTGATCCACAGTTTCTCACAAAAACAAAGTACAGTAGCGGACAAAGACTTAGCATAATTTAGTTTTTTTATAATAAAGCTGAAAAGCTTCAAAATTCTCGAAACAGTCGACTGGTGCACCCTCAGAATGGTAGCAATCGGATCCTGTCTCTCACCGGCTTGATGAAGAGCCACAATCGTATCCCGAATAGCAGGCTGCAGTTGTTTCTTGCGACTCATTGACTGAAATTAATAAAATAATAAATTTCAATCAAATTATAGCTCAAATTAAGAAAAAAAAACACAGAAAAATAATCAAAATTACTGGGAAATGCAAAATCATGCTAGGTCTTTGTCCGCTACTGTATATATAAAGTTATTGTTTTTTTTTGCAGCACATACGCTAGCTGATTCCCTGTTTTTTTTGGGAAACAAAGTATGAATCTATCCCAAAAATCATCGTCAAGTAAAACTGTGCTCATTGTTTATCCATTTTAGATGGCTCTGCTGTCGGATCTATTTGACGACTCCTCTTCCTATACATTTCTCTATGAGCAAATGAAAAACATCTACAACAGTCGAATCTTGTCTCATCATCCAGATCTAGGATTCTTGATTTATTCAATTCTTAAATCAGTGACAGTTGTTGGGATGGTTGGTTTGTCTAGATTCGTTTCTAGTCTTTTTCTAGGAATCGGTTGAGCCAAAAATGACCGAAACGGAGCTGGGAAAACAGTTAATGATTTACATCGAGACTGGATTGACATCATCATATACAGCTGTCAGGTGTAGTAATGTTTTTTTTTTGGAAAAACAAACCTCAGTTATAGGGAAACCACTTTGCATGGAGTTTTCTACTTTCTTCAATCGATGGCTGGGGAATCGCTTCGACCGATCATTCAATACACATCGGCTTTTCTGATTGATGAGATTGGGAAACAATTGAATATTACTGATCCAGTGTTGATAAACAGGTGAACATTTTGAGAGATTGTTCACAACGATCGCTTTGGCCCGATCCTGCTAGATTCTAGTAGTTAAAGCAGCAGTTAAACCAGCAGTTAAACCAGCAGTTAAACCAGCAGTTAAACCAGCAGTTAAACCAGCAGTTAAAGCGTAAATTTACCAAGTTTTTAGTGTCCCATCTTCAATCAGCTACGACTCGATTCTCTGGGCAACAGCATTTCGTATAATGGAAGAACCAGTTCAAGGGACTTTCAAACAAACACTCAATCAAGTACATAGTGGAAAAAGGGTTTAAAAGACTAGGCAATAGCAGGCTAAAAGACGGTACGTCGTTGTTAGTATTGCGATGTACGGTGCGACGTATATAAGGCCGGCGCTCATATATGAGGCCGGCGCTCGTATATAAGACGGCGCCACCAATTTTTGCAATAATTTTGGGCACCATCAAGATCGCGTCACTGTGTAAATTGGGCTACATGATGGTATAAAAAACTTTTAGAAAAGCTGTTGTTTAGTAAAAGAAAAAGGGCCGCCAAGTGAGAGCACCGACTGTACATCGCAATACTAACAACGACGTACCGTCTTTTGTATGAGTGTGTAGTGTTGGTGTTTTTTTATACCATCGTGTAGCCCAATTGAAGAGCTATATTTTGATAGGAGACTCGCAGAAAGGGCCTTAGTAAATGGCAATTCCATTCGGTGCAATTTTCATGGTCCCGAAAAACCTGGTGCTATGCGCATTGGAGATGGACAGTGGGCGTAGCCTCAATTTTGCCAATGGCATTCTATTTTTCTGGCGTTTTCGACAACGCTGTTTGAATTCCAAATAGTTTCAAGGCTTAACTTTAGTTTCTTTCTAATATACATTCGTTTAGAAATGGCGGGTATTCATGCGGCAAATAGGCTAAGCTAAATAGGCTAAGAAGGCCAAGAAATATCTTATTCTTTTATTCCGACGCCTTTTTGTTACTTTTCGTTACTTTTTGTTACTTTATTATCGTTGTTATAAATGTTAATTAAAAGCGAAGGCAAAGCAAAGCAATTAAATTTAAAACAAAGCCTTAAAACTATTTGAAATTTAATCAGCGTTGTCGAAAACCCAAGAAAATAGAATGCCATTGGCAAAATTGAGGCCACGCCCACTCCCAAAATGCATAGAATCAAAAAGCTATAGAGATATAAATATCTATATACCGTATTTTCTTTAATAGTAGTGCACCATGAGCGTTGCCTAAATTGCTCGAAATCTCGAGAACCGCTTATCAGAACCTATCGATGTGGGGTCGGAAAATGAAGCTGACGATGAGATCTTGTGGGAGATTTGAGTGTTGAGTTTCTGGGAAAAATTGGAAACCGTAAAATAGGCATCAACTCGGCTCAGCCGGGCGGAGGGGGAGAGGGCACGACAATTACAGAAAATACAGAATACCGTATTTTCTCTAATAGTAGTGCACTCTAAGCGTCGCCTAAATTCCTCTAGATCTCGAGAACCGCTTATGAGAACCTATCGATGTGGGGTCAGAAAATGTAGCTGACGATGAGATCTAGTGGGGGATTTGAGTGTTGAGTTTCTGTGAAAACTTGGAAACCGTAAAATAGGCATCAACTCGGCTCGCCAGGGTGCACTACTATTAGAGAAAATACGGTATGAAAAGTTACAATTAGCCAGCAAGATCAATAGTCAATAGATCAATAGATCAATAGATCAAAGTCGAAAAGATTCAAATCATCGCTTGTATCGTCGATTTCTTTAGCATTCGTATCGACGTTTGTGTTCAATTCTCCCAAAAGCTCGGCTATTTCTTAATTCAGACAAGCATTCCTCAACTTTTCAACTTGGAATGCCACTAGCAAAATTGAGGCCACGCCCCACCCAGCATGCATAGAATCAAAAAGCTATAGAGATATGATGTAGAAATATCTATATATTAAAAACAGTCGGCTCTAATCTTTATAGAATCTTTATAATACTATTTTAAGATTTATGTAAAAATAATAACTTATCTTTGGACCTTTACTTAATTTCAAGAATGGACTGGCCATTTTTTCTCTAAAAACTCTTGCTTCTATAGTTTTTCCAATATCTAATTTTTATAGAAACTCTGCGACGTTCTCCTAGTCGTCAACTTACCTCACTGGTTGCTAGAATTGGTCACAACAGGGATCGAGTCATTGATCTTTCACTCAAATGCTTTTGCTGATCAATTTGCAGCCGTGGCAAGAGGTAATAAGATAAATTCGAGGTAATAAGGTAATAAATTCACATGTGTTTTAGAAAGCTTTCAAGACTACCAAGTTCACACCGGAAAGTTTCCATTCGCATTGCGGATCTTCGTCGATTGTGTCTTTAGAGGTAAACTTTAAAGAAAAGCGTTGTAAAAGCTTTTTTAGAAGAGATTGATCCATCGAGGAACAGCTACAAGAAATTTCAAGTTCTGCTGGAGTCGGCGTTTAGTGTGTAGGTTCTTTACTGATTTTCCTTCTGGCTTTCTTTCTTTCTTTCTTACTTACTTACTTTCTTTCTTTCTTTCTTTCTTCTTCTTCTTCTTCTTCTTCTTTCCCTTTTTCTCTTGGCAAGCTAAGGTACCGGATAGCTCAATGGCTAGAGACTCAATGGCTAGAGGCTCAATGGCTAGAAGCTCAATGGCTAGAGGTTCAATAGCTAGAGGCTCAATGGCTAGAGGCTCAATGGCTAGATGGCTATAGGCTCAATGGCTATAGGCTCAATGGCTATAGGCTCAATGGCTATAGGCTCAATGGCTATAGGCTCAATGGCTATAGGCTTAATGGCTAGAGGCTCAATGGCTAGATGGCTAGAGGCTCAATGGCTATAGGCTCAATGGCTAGATGCTCAATGGCTAGAGGCTCAATGGCTAGAGCAAAGGTTTCCAGATAGCCCGGAGAGCAAAAGATCGAGGGTTCAATCCTATCTCCAGAAATCTACCCTTTCTTGCTAATTCCTTTACTTCTTTATTAAGCAATTTACCTATTGTTAACAATCCTATACAATTTCTGTAACAATCTAAACTTTGGCTATCTGAAATACTAGATCTTCCTAATCTAAATTGACAATTTTCAGCTTAAAACGTTGTGAATTCTCGGACGCCGAACTGTTGGTGAAAGCTCTTCCGCCAGTTTTGCGAAGGATTTACAAAGATGAAATGGTACTGTAACAAAGCTTAGCTTCAGCTAAAAATCGATTCAGGCTCTGGAAGTGATCTTGGACAATTTCATTCCAATTCAAAAACGACAACTACCTGAAAATGCCAAGCATATGTTTGTGATGATGTTTGAGGTGGGCTTTGACATTACCATAAAACCAATAACAATTTCAGTTCTTCGAATTGTTACGGAACAAACAAAAACTCGCCTCGTGCCTCGAGTTGACCGAGTTTTTGGCTCAACGATTGCTCGATTGTGCGTTACCTGAGAATCTCAAACTCTGCACCGTCTCACTCCTTTTTACAGCAGCTAGCGGCGATCCAGATGTCTATTGCAGGTAAAACAATTCCCACACTAACAATTTTGCTACGAAATTTCACTGCACGGCCATGTTTTTATCATACAGCACCACATTTCTACGAATTACTTTCAGATTTCATCTCCTTCTCGAGTTTTTTGATCAAGAAGGGATTGATTGGTCGTTTTATCATGATTGGATACTTCAGAAAACTGCTGAATCGGTGAGTGAAAATAGATAGCATAAATAAACAGTTAAAGATATGTGCTAGTTTTAAGAAAATGTGTTCCAAAGGTTGTTCCTAAACCTGGCTGCCGTGGCCCAGGGATACAAATCTCCCTGGGCCTGTCAAAAGCCAGACCCAGATCTGAATCCGGGTCCACAAGATCTATGATGAGATGCTAGATCTAGCGAAAAGTCGCTAGTCGCTAGATTTTCGTCGCTGGTCGGGTCCTCGATCGACTGCGTGGCTGCCCCAACTTGTTGGCCTGGTCCTCGATCGATTGCGTGACTGTCCCAACTTGATTGTCGGGTCCCCGATCGACTGTTTGGCTGCCCCAACTTGTTGGCCGGGTCCTCGATCGACTGTGTGGCTGTCCCAACTTGTTGGCCGGGTCCTCGATCGACTGCTTGGCTGCCCCAACTTGTTGGCCGGGTCCTCGATCGACTGTGTGGCTGTCCCAACTTGTTGGCCGGGTCCTCGATCGACTGTGTGGCTGTCCCAACTTGTTGGCCGGGTCCTCGATCGTCTGTTTGGCTGTCCCAACTTGTTGGCCGGGTCCTCGATCGACTGTTTGGCTGCCCCAACTTGTTGGCCGGGTCCTCGATCGTCTGTGTGGCTGTCCCAACTTGCTGGTCAGGTCCACAATCAAAATCTAGCGATTTTCCATCTAGCGATTTTTACTAGTCGACCAAAAGGGTGACTAGTGAATTTTTCCCATAAGGAGGACCACATGGATCGAAAAATCGATCCTCCCCGATTTTCCTGAAACTTTTTCATGGCATGTAATCGACTATGCCCATCATCGTGGCAGTGTTCATTTTTCGAAATTCACACATTTAATCCACTTTTTGAGAGAAATTTCTGGATAGCTT